TGGTAGTAGACGACGCGAGAGACAGGGAAGCAAGATCCGACTGCAGCGCCGCTAGTTTATTTTTTTTTTCTGTTTTGCAAAAATACTTTTGAAGTTTGTGGGAAGCCGAGGGGGAAGAAGATGCGGGAGAGACACGCCATGGGCGGCTGAGCGGCGTTCGAGACCGGCACGCGAAGAGTGCGAGACGTGGAGCGAAAAAGAACGGCCGCAACGGGCAAGCCTGAACGACACGGCGCAACACAAGACCCAGCCAGCCCCGGGGAAGACGCGGACAAGCACCAAGTAACAGTAAAGTGTTCTCTCACATCTCCTCTAACGAGTGACTTCTTGGGAGGGCGGACCAGGCGAGGACCGATTGGGCGGCAGTATTATTGAGCGACCCTCAAGTTGAGAGATGTCAGAACTAAAATAAAGACACGGACTTGACGTATCATAAAAATACAATTTCATTGAATCTTCGCCTACAATATATTTCGCATGGGAAAATATTCGCAACTTTCACGACCTATAGGGGGCGCGCTGGCGCCTATCAAAATGGCTGTCATCTAGATTATCGTCGTAGAACAGCTGTACGAGGCTGGGTCTGTTGCACGTAATTCTAGTTTTGTTATATACGAGCAGTGCTAGAGCCTTACGATATTTTTTCACGCCATGAAGGTGTAGGCAAGCCTATTTATTATGAGGCCAATCATCCAGGAGCTAGAGAGCGCGATTCTCGCACCGCGGTACCACCATCGCTGAAAGTTGCGAATAGTGAAAAAGAAAGCTCAAATGAACGACGGCCACCTGCACGCAAAGCCTTGTATGAAGAACTGGACAGATGCACAAAGGCGGGCTGGTAAAACAAAAGGGGAAAGGCTTACTTGGAGACATCGCCGGAAGGCCACACCTTACGAACTCCACACAAGACATATTCACAGCGTCACGTTATCACGACGATACTGTACTTCGTTCATTTTTAAACGTACAGTAGGGTGGCAGCTGCGAGCTAACCAGAGCCAGTCAAACACCCTCCTTTAAACACCTGACCCGTCCCTTTGTCTGCGCGTTGGTGTGAACGAGAGCGTGTTTACGTGGCGAACGATAGACGTGTGACTGTTCCAACGAGGACTTAGCTCCCACCGCACTGTCAGTTCAGGGATGAACTGCTTTTAGGCTACAAGGCGAAGGGCACATCATCAGTGAGGTCAACACGTTTTAAAACCTGAGATGACAGGACACGCAGATTCTCAGCATTCTTGTTTTTTTGTCAAGCAAGGCCAAACCGTAAGCTTCGATTACATGTGAAAAACAAACGGCAGGGATAAATGGTTAATATACTCGCGGGCACAGTAATCACGTCCTTCTTTGAACCTTCCTGTTCGTACTTGTCACTGCTCATCACTGTGCTCTCCGTTCTGCTTATATCTTCGCTCTTGGTCTTTTTCTTTTTTTGTTCTCCGTTTTTTTTTTTTGTTTGTGGTTTCGTTTTATAACTTAACTTTAATTTTTCAGTGTTCTTTTGTATTTCGCTTGAAGGGCCAGCATCTGGCACTCTAAGCGATCGGCTTCACTTTTTACCGATGACACGGCAGCTCGGATGGCAGCCAAGGAGCTTTGCTGCTGCGCGTGCATACAAAAAAGCACAGCAACCTGAGTCTCTGGCGGTTCCGAAGGCTCCATTGTCAACACTACCGGAATCGGTGGGGTAAGCAGAGCAGACCGAGCAGATGAGGAACAGGACAGAGAACAAACTCACAAGCTAAGAAACAATTGAGTGTTTTAACGCGGGGGCATCATCGATGACTCGTACCAGCCCGTTCCAAGCAAAGTTGCTTCGCTAGCGAACATAACACGTGTAATCGTAAAAAAAATCCATACAAGCAAAACCCATAATATTGTTTACAAGAATAAATGGCAATGCATCAGCAATTTTGTTTTATCGAGACATTTATTCTTCTGAATGGGTGAGCGTTGTCTCCAACAAATCGAAAACTACAGTTGCAATAAACATCTCTTAAATGGCATTCTATACTCCGCCTCACCCTACGATGGACTAGAGCCCGAAGGTTGGCGTGCGGAGCACTGGCTCAGAAAAGCTTGCATCCGCATTGCGAAAGAGTGCGCGAGAAAAACTCCAATACGAAGACTACGAAGAGCACTAATCTAATGCATATGGTTATCTGTTATGATAGCGCGCTATTTTATATTGGTGCAACGAAGGCACATAATGTTTAGTTTCATAAACGCTCTCGCCATATTTCGTAAACATGTCAACTGTTTGGAGAAGTTGGACGGCGCGGATAAAGCCGAAACGACATAAAGTCGTTTCGCCTTAGCCATAGCAATCCAATCCAATCTAACCTTCGTGTACGTAAAACGTACACCGACCCGCATCTCCCTCCATCACGCGGATCGTACATACGCCCTCGTGTCGAGCACTTTATCCTACTCTTCATTTCTTAATGGCCACTGGTTCTGATTCCGGGTTCTCTTCGCCACATCGCTTCTAGGCGGTATGTATTCCCTTTAGTAGTCTTGAGTAGTAGTAGCAAGCAGACGGAGCCGCTGCGAGGGCTCGATAAGCAGACGAAAAACTCGCGTCCGTATGACGCGTCGTGGCGCACTGCGTACGACGGAAAAAAAAAATATACCACGTGGTTTCTAACAGGCTCGTGATTGGACCTGGCGGCTTGTAGCATTGGGCTTCAGTCCATCGTAGGATGAGACTGGGTATACATCAGCGGCGTAGACCTGCCCGAACTGGAGATAACACTGAATGGAAGAATGATCTGATGCATTGATGCGCGCACGACATCACTCTCTGCGGAAACTTTTCGTGTCTGTCGCTTACAAGCATAATGCGAGATAGCATCGACCTCTGACACTTTTGTGGAGGTTCACTAAAATAACTTCAGAGCACTTACCGAACATCTTCGCTCCAATCGTATACACGAAACTTCCTCTCGAAAGTGCTTGCTGCACACTGTTAAACTCTTAGAAATTAATTTGCCCATTCTCAATTTCAAAGCCACTTCGTGCGCAGCTGCTTCTCCTTGGAGTATATGTGGAAGCTGATGTTTGGGTCGGTCGCGTAACTGCGGCATTGCGGCACCGAACAGTGCTTTACCGTTGCTCCCCGAGCTCGACAGCTGCCGAAGCCGATCCACGCATGTGCTGATCAGGCTTCAAACACACACACACAGAAAAAGCTAAAGTACCGAGCGAGCGGTTTGCAAAGACCCCGACCAAAGTAAGGCGGATCAGCTGGCCCTATCACGTGATCGCCCATCCTACGTCACGGTCGAGCGATCGCAGCGCTCCAAACGGTCCCGCTCACCTTGACCGATGAACAGCGATACCGGTGAGTCGACTGTCTTTGAGTCACATCTAAGAAAGCTATTCCTCATGTTTAACACTTCTGTCATATGCGCCAGCTAAATGACTGTTTAGTATCAAGTTACGAACATAGTAAAACCCCACTGAAACTGGAAAAAAGAAAGGAGAGACAAACACAGGTCACAAAAATTGAGTCCTGTGTTTGCCCTTCCTTTCTTGTTTCCAGTTTCGAGGTGTTTCTGCTATGTTCAACTACCACCAGCTCGTTTGCGCCCTAACGTTCTGTTCATTATTCAGTATGGTCCACTTTGAGACGCATAAGGCTGTTGCAGTGCAAACAGGAAAATCTGAGTTCTGGTACATATAAAGCCACTAAAATGAGCACGAATTAAAGCCTCAAGTTATTCAAACATAATGCCAAAGTAATTTCGTTACTTTTGGAAAGTAACAGTAATTGCATTACTTCTTGAAAGTAATTTTGCCACCACTGGCTGGCGCGCGCCTAAACGCACCAGTCGATGATGTGTTTAGCGCATCCTCAAATATGGTTCTTCGATTTGCGCCTGATGACGTCATAGAAGTGTCAAGCTGTCGCCCGTAGCGATCCATGTGATGCCCCAACATCTGTGGGGTTTATACACGTTTGCAAGTCCGGGTTCAGGGCGCTGCCATCTTGCTTGGCTGGGGTGCGCTTGGACGAGTTATAATCCGATTACGAAGCCTTGCTAAGGCGTCGTAATCGGATTATGGCCGCGCGCAAGAGCGCACCCCACTGAGGAAGATGGCGGCGCCCTGAGACCGGACTTGCAAACGTGTATAGCAGACGCATGTTCTGCTGCAGCCTGTAGGTCGCTCAGCAGTCAGACAGCCAACGTAAAACCATTTGCAAACACGAGATGGGACGCAACTGCGTTAGCGAACCTAGCTCACCTTAAACGCCAATTTGAAAATTACTTTTAGAATCACAATATCATGACACGCCGGCTCCTATGGCGACAATAGTGACAGATAGGCCAGCATGACTTATTTTGACAAAATGCGCCGCAAGACAAGGACAGAGTAAGACAACAGGAAGCGCCTATGACGTCTCTTATTACCGGGCCTCCTTTAATACATAGATGGAATAGGACGCTAAATGCATCAGTCAAAAATCTTCTCCAGCTGTATACCTGTATGCTTAGCCAAAGAAACAGAACACGAAAGACCTTTCCGTGTTTGTGTCGTTTTCTAACAGCTATTTCGGTGCGCGTGTATGTGCGTGTGTTTGGGAGGGGGGGGGGGCATATTTAGTGCACACCAGCTCGTTTGCGCACTCGCGTTCAGCACAGAGTTCACATTTATAAAGCAGAAAAAAAGAAAAACATTTAATTCAACGAGTATGAACAAGTAAATATCGGAACAAACTCCAGTCGACTCTGCACCGTAAAAGGGTGGGATTGTGCAGAGCCGTCCTGTGCGGTGTTGTCCACCAAGGAGTTATTACCCGTTGGTAATAACCCCTGTGCTGTGCTGTGTGCCCGTTCTTTCTTACAGGCTGCGCGCTCAGTTATCAAAAGCATTGGCACGGGAGGGCAGCTCTACAAAGCTGCAGCGTGTCCGCGCAAAAGAAAAACCTTTGTTGGTGGTCATTTTATCTGTTTATTGCTTTATTTTTCAGTTTCAAGTCTTGCGCGCTCACGTGTGTGGCAACGCTGTACAGAACGCGCCGAGCATGGCCACCAATATTCCTGATGTGCGGAACGGGGTCGGAATTGCAAGGTGTACATCTTTACTCACCACTCCTGTTGAGCACATACTGTCTGCAAGATTTCTACAGTCAACTTTTCGCGCCATCATTGTTGTTTCCCACAAACGACAAAACACTTTACACACAGTTCGTAAAAATGGCCAGCATGACATAAAATAAATCTTCTAGAAGCGAAGGCACTAAATAAGGACACTTTTAGATAAAATAGTCAAAGGTTCAGAAACACAAGACTCTTCGTCACATCAGAATCTCAAGCTAAACATGCGTTTGCGTCATCGCTCGTCAACAATTCCAACATAATCACGTCAGCACAAAACTAGTAGGGCTACGGCGATATGCGTTTATTATCTAGGCAATAACACACCCCAAGCATTAGTCGCTTTTACTGGGCTCGGGCGGAGTGATGCGGCACCGAATCTTGTAGGCCCTAATGTAGAACATGACGAACCACACAAAAAACACCAGCGATTGCGATATGCTGAGCCAGATGAAGAGAGGCACGTAGTTCCCTTTGGCGAGCGCGGTACCCAGACAGTGCAGTAAAAGCAGGGAGAACTGGACAATCTGCAACATGGTAAGGTACCTCTTCCACCAGAGATACTCCTTGTAAGCCGGCCCCAAGGCGGCCAGAAAGTAGTACGTGTACATGATGACGTGAACAAAGGAGTTCATGCAGGTGATGAACATGGCGTGCGCCTGACCACCGTACGTCACACTCAGCCACATGTTCCACGACACCACCACATGATGGAAGACGTGCAGGGTACTGACCTGGTTAGATTTCTTGCGCAGCACAAAGAACACTGTGTCTGCGAGCTCCGACAGTCTGAACATGTAGAACCACCAGGACAGGTGCACTATCTTGTTACTCGACGGAAGGCCGCCGTAGTCGACGTCCTGAAGAACGCCGTATCCATTGTCCCAGTAGGCGTACTTCCCAAACAAAGTCAGGAAGAAGAGGCTCAGCGTCGCCGTCAGGAAGTTGTAGACAAGAATCCATCGTCTGAGGTCGAAAGGCTTGCGGTAGCGCATCCATCGCGGTCCCGCGACTTTGACAAAGTAGACGTACGCGATGGTGATGACAGCGACGGGGATTGGGTTCCCCGTGAGGAGCCATCCGCTCGTTCGGCTGTCGCGGTGCGGAAACCAGGACTGGCGGAGTTGGGGCGACTCGGCGGCTGCCATTCCGGTGGCAAACGGTCCTGTGCGCTCGGCTGGAACCACGCCTCCCAGTCGACCGTTGAAGCAGACGTCTGTCACACGCACGCGACAACCTTGACTCGCTTTCCCGGCCGCTGTGTTTCAAGGGCGCCGGTCCAAGCCCTGCCGCGGCGCCAAAGTGAGCTAGCAATTGATTCCCTTCTTCGTCTTTTTTCGATCTATGGACGCGGTTCGGGCGAGCACCCAACCCAACACAACCTAGTCCCAACGGAAACTGCGAACCTTATGCCCTGATGACACTGCGCATCTTCTGCCGTCTTCGTGAATACCCAATCCATTTATTTTGGAAGAGAGCGAAAACGAAAGTGAGGGCGTGGAGCTGATAGGAAAGGGAATGTACATACCCGAAGAAAACAAAAAGAGTCCCCAAAAAAAGATAAAAGACGACTTGCTAACAGCTGGCTTCCTGCCATCACGCCTTTTCGACAGCAAGGATATGACTCGCCTCGCGTACGTGCCGCATTACCTTGGTTGCTTTTTGCTTCCTCATTTCTTTCAATCACCCCATTCGTTGACCCGGACGACCCTCCGTATCGTCCATTTGAAGAAGGCGCCAAGCAAATAAAATAAAGGTAACTATTTAACGCGCGTACACTCCCTTCCTTCCAGGAACCGAAAGGCAGGCTGAAATGTAGGTCGGCAAAGTCCTCGTCGCCTAGACATGTCGGCGAATAAACTAGAAATCAAGAAGGATTTCTTTTTTTTTTTTTATCGAGGTCGATAGACTCAAGGGGCATTTCAATGCATTCAGGGGTGTTTTCCTTCGTCATCTCCGCTGTTTCCGGGTTCCAAAAGATCTAAGTTTGCATAGAAGCCAGAAATACTCCTGGTCGTTTACCAAAAAAAAAAAACTAAAGACGACCGAAAAAAAAAGAAGTAAAAACGCCCAAGGCGTGTCAGTGTAAGCTCGATGCTACTCCTGAGGCTCCTCGACCGCGCAGTGACAGGCAGCAGATAATAAAAAATAAAAAAAAGATAAGGCACACGTTTATTTTCGTCGTAATGCAGCCCCCCAAGTCGCCTTCTTCTTTCTCTGCAATGGTTGCAGTCTTCAAAACAAGTCCATCATAGCTTAGGCACGTCATATTACGCTTTATTAGAGGGTGTGTCATAAAAACACCCCCTTGATTCTTGAGCCATTCCAGGTAGAATTTCCTGTTTGCTTAATTACCTTTCATTCTTCATACTCTCTCTCTCTCTCTCTCGTCTTCTGACTCATTTTTGTTACTCGACCAGGGGTATCGTTGTGGCTATGGTTGGGGGACAGGCTGAGAACTCAGCAGCTCCTCTGCCTCCAGCACGCGATCGTTGCTTTACGGCTTTTGCCCACTGCGCGTGCGCAATGCTGACAGCAGCGCCACCGCAACAGTGTGACGTCATTGAGCTGAGTCGGTGACGTCACGCCACTGCGCCACGTGCCGATGCTTCCCCTCTCCCGGATATATATTTTTTTTATATTTTAAATATAAAAGTTGTCCAAATCCTTAAAAAAAGTATGTGCTGCCTTTGATATTCGGTAAAAATTGGCCATTTCAAAATTTAAAACAAACTACGGTACTTTTCCCCAGACTTGAAATACATTTATTTACATATTTATTTATTTACTCCTTTAATTCAAGATTCTTCCAATCCCCTTTAGGATTTATATCAGCCATTGAAAATAAAAAGGACTCAATGCGAAATGAGGAACACCAACTTCGATAACATTTTACGGCTTTCCTGATTAGAAGACCGAAAGGCACTAATGAATGAAAATATCCATGCAGAATTCGGGCGACACTGTCCAAAAAGTCGAACCTTGGTTTCCTACAAAAGTTCGTGAAGTTTCCATAGCAGTTACTCGAGTCGTGACCGAAGTGGCAAGTCACTCCCACAACAGAATATATGGTGCGACCAAACAGCTTATGTTACCCGCGTTGGAACAAGAACTAAACCAACGAAAAAGAGACGCGTTCTCGAAACCTGCCTTTTTTGTGCGCTTTCAATTATTACAACCGAAAGGCACGTGTACCAAGAAGGAAACTATTTTATTCTGGTTTCTGGCGAGGTCAACCTGATTTGTTTTTTGAGGAAAAAACGCAACCAGGCCGAACGATGCCGATGAAGACGCCATGGCGTGTCCAAGGTCTTCGTAAAAGCTGCCGGCTTCAGAGGCCTGCTTTGGACTCGTTCGTTAAATTACGCCTCTCAAAGATTCATAAAGTCGTAGGTAAGTAAACAAATAAAATGGAAATGCATATTAATGGTATGTAGAGGAACATAGAAAGGGTCATTAGCCATGCACTAGACGTGAGCCGCATGAATCAGAGCCGTATAGGGAGAGTCTGGCCATTCATTTGCAAGTACAGGAGGCAAATGAGGAGGCGCCATTGGCCGAAAGCGCACTGGGCATGCTTCCTGGAGTCTTCACAAATTCGAATGTGACCAACCAGAAGCCGCGGTGGTCGCGAGGAACAAAATTAATAAGTGCGTTGGAGTAACTTTCGGTGACTGAAAATATGGTACACGTGATGTTTCGATCCCAGTCATGAAAAATTAAGGTGAAAGATAAATAAAGGTATAAAGAGTATTCACTGGGCGCCATATTTGTGGCTGCTGTCTAGAGCGCACGCTCAGAACGAGCCCACATTATTAGGCTGCTAAGACCGGAAATCATGATGGTGTGGAATGCACGTTGCAAAAAGAACCGTGGAAGCTCGCTATCAGCACGCGCTCAGCAGTCGCGCACTCTTATGCACTTTTAAAAGTGCATAAGAGTTACCACCGTTAGGGGATTATTTTAGTCTTCTGGTTGGCCAAGGGAGCATGTCGAGCTAGGGTGCCTACATGTCTGTCTGTCTCAGGGTGAAGACATCCATTGTTGCCCTGAATGTGCCAGCGCGTGACGCTCTCGCGCACTTGGTGCGTGACTTGGGCGGTAAAATGGCGTCTATGCATTAGCCAAAGCTACGCGCTCGTGCTGAGTGACGCCGGATTGCGCGCACTTCAAAATGCATAGAAAGAACGATTGGGCGGAAAAATGGCCGAGATGTCACCACTCAAGCAAAAGCGCGCGTGTGTATGAAGGCACTCTATGTCGAGCGCCCTATCTGCTCCTCCTGTTGGCCAAATATGGCTTTTAATAACTCTGGCATGAGCATGCCATTTTTTTTTTTCAGTGCGTGATTGTCTTTTTTTTTTTTTTTATACAATTGTGTGTACCTGTTCCAAACTGCGGAAGGTTGAGGCCTTAGCAGCCTCAGTCAGACAGAAATGCCTTTATTTTCTACCTTTCTAAATAAAATCCAAATAAACTTCAGAACCTCGAAATAGGCTATGTGCTTCATGCAGACTCCAGGGCACCATGCTCCAGAGGGGTCGCACGTTTTGGAGGCGCGATGGGAGACAGCGGCTGTATCACTGGGTCGCGTGATAAGCCCCTCCCCACCCGCTTCGCGGCGACAGTCTGCGGATGACTCATCAAAGAAACTTTTGACCCACCTAGCCCATCCGTACACGCCGCTTCGCTGCGTCCCGTCGGCGACCCAAGCCCCGCTGTCCCCCATTGCACCTCCGAAAAGTGTGACCCCTCCACAGTAACCACAGTTCTGTCATAGATGGATGAATGGATGCTGATGGCTGTACCCTTTATAAGGGGCGGTACCTTGCGCCACCTAGCCTAGAAGTGTGATTCTTCCCTTCGTCCTTCTGAACCAATCTTTGTGCTTGAAATCATTGTTGCCAGTCATTTAAAGCATTTTCTTAAATCGCAGGAGATCCCGGGTTTTTGTGCTCCAGAAATGGTAAAACGCATCGCGACAAACCAAGACGCTATCGCCCGGGCTTCCTGACGCCAAATCTAAAGCTGAGAAAGTAGCATTTTCGAATCATAACGATCGCCAGTTATCTCCCGCTCTGCGCCGAACACCAAGATGGCGGCGCCCACAAGAATATCGGGGAATGAAGCGTCGATACTCTAAGCGAGGCTCTAGGCGGGACCTGATGAAGGACAACCTCCTTACACATTGCGAGTAAAGGACGGAAGCGGTCTGCACAAATCGCGTGCCTTTCCGCGTCACGGAACATTCCTGGCAAAAGATTCGTGATCGAGGTCAGCTGATTGGCGGAGACGGCGCGTTGTTTTGGCTTGAGGTCGGAAAAGCATGAAGAACTATTTTGTTTCTTCTTCTCTCGATGCAGAAGTTATTTTAACGGAAGCGAGGTTAAGATTAGCGTTGCGTTGCCGTAGCGGTAGCCGTACCGTGCGTCGTCAGCTGAATATAGTGGATTAATGTTCAGCAACTTAATTTGACGTTCAGCTAAACTCAGAGGGACGGCAAAACGAGTCGCATGATTACGTGACGTGTGTCAGGCCATGCTAGATCACGTAACAGTATCGCGTGACCAACGGTGCAAAGTTGCGATGATATGCGTGTCGTCAGGGAGGCAACAACGTTTTTAAAACAATTGGTACGGTGGATGTCAAGTTCCGGTTTAATGGGATTGTCCGGTAAAATTTTGTCTTTCAGAAAACAATTAAACTATATTGTCATTACTTTTAGAAATATCATCCACACGATACCCAAATTTCTAATCTTCCGCCGCACAAGTAATTCAATTTTAAACAGAGCCCAACTGCTCGGATTGCACCCGCATACCACGCAGCGTTTACGTTGTAAACAGATGAAGCTCTGACGTAACATCGGCCAAGAGATCCACGACAGGTCTTGACTGCTGTCTCAGTAAAATAACTTCGTTCTAAGAGAGACAGTATCTACGGTATTAAGGGGAGCTCAATTCTTCGACTTTGTAAGTACGTACCATCAACCATGTTGATCAACACCGGAAATAAGTGAATGCCCGCGACTGTGACACTACTATGCCTTATATGATGTCACGAAGTTTCATGTTGATGTTTATAATTGATGTAACGAGCATTGGGGAGTCTTCTAATAAAATAAATATCGCATCTGTCTTCCTCTCCT